TGGTGCTAGGTCAGTTAATGTAGTAGGTAGTAAATACGGGGATGATACAACAAATACACTAGTAATGCTCACCCCATCCTTAGTTGGGGGTGTTTAGGGTCTACATTTACAAATAGATATTCAATATATGCCGGTGGTCGGAGCTTCGCCCATCAGATAGTAGAATGTACCAAAACAGAAGTGGTGGCTTAAATCTGGTGGAAGTCGTGTGTCAGTAGAAACCACACCGAAACTGCGTTATGATTTTTCATTGTGATAATATTTTGTAACCTATAAAATAAGGTACTTGTACCTATAAATTAAGGTAAGGTTTTAAATCAATACTGACACATATACTCAATACTACTTAAACAATTGCTAAAACGAAACCAACCATGATTTCTACCAGTGTTTCACAATATTACTGCATACGTATATGAAGTACAATAAGCGAATAAAGAATTTAAATATTCCAAAATATTATTTCTAAGGCCCCATGTTAAATATTTTTGTGTGCCGTAAATATTTTGTTTATGAACTATATTTATGTTTTATAAAATAATAATAGAATGTAAGTTATTTACTTTTCCCCCGACTGATTTCTTATCGTACAGACGTTGAGATCAAAGTTGTGTAGTCAAAGATGTCCGAACATAATTTACCTCTTGACCATTTACGATTATGTCAAAATATGGCTTTAGTATACTTTAAATAAATCTTAACATATTCGCTTCACGGAAGCAATAACTTAAATTGAAAATTTATTCATTAAATTATTAGGTTTGTATACTTATTAAGCAAACACATCTATCATCATACACAGATATCTTTTTAAAAAAAATATGCTTTTTTGCCTTGACAAACTACATTCCTTTTGAAAAAGGGTATATTTTGTTATATAGGGTATAAAAATTCAATAGATAGTGGTATAACCATTTATTTTACGCCATAGGTAATATAATATTAGGCTGGCAACGGCGAGCATCATCTATTACTGCGATCATCGGCTGGTTGACAGTCGTGATGATTGAAGCAAATCCTCACTATCCCTTCCTATGCAGGAGAGTGCAGCGGTGGATTTTTATAAGCTGATGTTGAGTTATAAGAATTAGGCTTAGATCAACTTTATGAAAATTCTTAAAACAAATATAATTACAATCTTACTTTATAATACTTCTTCTTCTAGTTTCCTCGTCATAAGATAATTTTCTATTTTTTTACAAGCTTCGCCTTTCGTTAAATATAGGTTCGGTAATTTTATATATATTTATAAACAATAATTTTCTCAAAAACAAATACGTGACACAGCCTAATTTCTACTCTAGGCGAGTTTGCCATTTGAAACTCGATGTGTTGCACTTTACGCAATAGAAATATAAGTTGAATTTATGCCTTTTTCTAAAATTAAAAATTATAATGTACTCTTTAGAATCGAATTTTGCCATTAATTTATTTTCATAAATAAACACAATAAAAAGTAATCGGCAGTTCTAATATTATAATCGGCAACAACTCGTACCGCAATACTTATTAAACGAAGTCTGTGGATGCGCAAAATGCCCGGTACCTACTGCAACCAATGATCTTACTGCAACAATGTAAGAGTTAACTGTGTTGAGTGAAACCGATTTTCCGCATAGGAGACGCTAGAGAAAATCTCTTTTTACGTGTAGATTCATATATGCATCTTGGTAATTAAAAATTTTCTCGATAGTTAAGAATTCAAGTTACTAAATACTTGCGAAGCAATTTTCCGATTTTTTTTAGTTTAGAATGATTATATTTAAAGTAGAAACATTTAAAAGTTATTTATCTTAGTTTATATACGCTAAAATTAAAAACAAATGAAATTGCAATAGTCTTTTTCATATCAATTAGTAATCATTTTGATTTTTATCATAATATGATAAGAAGCAAAATTATCTTAATTGTATATGACAAAACCATCAATTACTAACAAAACGAAAAGATAACCACGCTCCATCGTATCATGCAATAACAAATGAAAATACCTATTTGATATAACCTTTTATAGTTATTATTTTTTATGATTTAATTTTATAAATTAATCTAGCAAATCGCTTTTAACTCACGACACTCGAGACCAACCAGCCGTGGTGCTTTCTACTTATCATCAGATGCGTTTGCACCACTACTATTTTAACCATAGCATTCCAGGTCTCTTTGGCGCGGAACGACATCTTTAGTAATTGAATACAAACTTAATGCTATTTTTATGTATTGTTCGCTTGTATTTTTAGTATTCATTTACAAGACCTTTTAGACACTAAAAAATTTAGTTTACATTATATCCGCCTATTCATGCGATTTTATTAATAAACAGATCTTTTTCAATTAATGAAGCACCTACCTAGAACACCTACCTACCTAACAAGATTGCGGACTTCATTTGTTGTTACAATAACTGGATTTACTTAAACGAATTAATTGGAGTAGAAATTCCAAAGTTAATTATTTTAAATTTAATGAGAAACAGTTCTAATTTTCGCGGGGTCCATTCGTGTGCAGATTGACGATTTTTGTGTCCACATTTCCTCACCATGTTTACGGCTTATAACATGTATTGTATAGATTATTATTTGTAATTTTTATCTGCTACTTTTACGTAGTTATTATCAGTTATTTATTCCCTAGGAGTATAAAACACTAAAGCTATTTGTTAGTATTTAGGAAACATATTTATCTTTATGTATAAAAAAGTTTTTTTTTAAATAAAATAAAGGTGACAAACGAGCACACAGTCCACCTGATAATAAGTGAATGCTGTGGGCCATAGAAAACTACATTGACCTTCAATTATGAATCAAAATGCAGATGCGTTGTCATCCCTGAGGACTGAGATGGAATGCCTCGTTTCCAGTAAAAAGGGTCTCCGGTTCTCAACACTCACCATACGAATACACAGTAGCAGGGGGGGTACACTTCCATACTTTAGGTCGGGGTTCAATAATTTGCAAAGACACTAGTGCCATCTTGTACTATATCCCCATAAACTTTCGAACACTAAATTCTAAAAGGTGCGCTAGATGGCGATTACACCAATTCTGGTTATTCTGGAAATGGCAAGTAGCAACTTTATATGACATAATGCATAGATTACTTATATAAACTAGACTGCTACCGGCGCTGAGCAAGTTGTTGTTTTATTATAGTTTATAAGTGATTTTCGGTTGTTGCTACAATAAGTTTGGTTGAGTTGGGATTAGCCATCTGTTTCTTGTTGTTTGTTTAGATTTTCATGCTGGAACCACATTGTATGTTTGTGTAGTGCTGTGCGAAATAGACGCTTTCATTTATCATTCCGGTAACCCGGTGGACATATTTAATTTGGTTTGATGTTGTATTTTGCGGAAAATGACGCTTTTACATCGTGTATGTTAATTATATATAACAAAAATATGTTAATATTACTGAAATCTATAATACGTCTTTAATTGAACCTTAATCCCTTGAAATATAAATATAACCGCCTATAGTATAGATAGCTGTATATACATAACTACATACAGCTATCTATAGTCAACATGATATTGAGATTAGTTCAAGGGATATGATACCAGGCAGCGACACTATTCATATTGGGTGACAAAAAATCCTAGGAGATGGCTCTCTATTTCTGTATATATTACTCTACTCTATGCACAGTAGCGTTAAGTTGCTATTTTGCACTGTGGTATTTGTTGAGAGCGTGGTCCCGGTCAAGCCGACCTATTCGTGTTGCAACCACAATATAGCTGCACGTAAAAAAAAGCTTTATTATATATTACAAAATTCGTAACTCTTTTGTCTTCTCTTTCTCACGTTCTTCACAAAGTGAAATCTCATTTACTATAGATAATATGCAATCGTACTTTCTTAAACATTTTTAACACACTCAAAAAAAGAAGGAAGTACTCAGTTCGACATTACGTTTTTTATTTAATGTGTTACCTCAGAACTTTTTTTAGGTGTGGTTACATAAAAAACGGACCAAGCTCTGACCATTAGTTTTTGAGTTATCCTACTACTACATTGATGATGTTCGCATTTTATTTATATTGAAGTCGTTTGTAAAAAATGTTTAATTTTACCCTTTGTAATTATCCTTGTACAACTGAACAAAGAAACTCAAGCCAAAAATATATGCATTTAAAGTTAACGTATTTTCATTCGACTTTTTCTTGTTTCTCTTCAAAATTAAATTTAAAAAAACTTTTTTCTTCCAAACGCTTAAAGTTTTTCCAGACTAAATAATTAAATTAAATTATTCGTCAGTAAGCGCCTCCGCGGAAACATATATTTTAGATCTGGTTCTAGTGTCGTTTCTTGTATAAGCATTATTGCTAGCCACTTATAAGCAGGCGCTTGCATTACAGAACGTAATACGATAATGATATTGGTTATTTGTTGCTTTTTGACTTATTTTGGGTAGAAAATCTTTGTATTAAATATTTTTTATGACGTTTCAATTTATTTTATTAAAAAAACATTTAATTGCAAGCGTTATTTCTACAACTTTAATTTATACGTGGTAGAACCACAGAGTTATTTACCCATGATGCTTCCCCAGTCGAGACGATACATTCGTACCCCACTCAACTATATGACTATAATGGTTGTGGTACGAATGTGTCGTCTCGACCGGAGAAGCATCACGCTCTCGCAGAATATTAACGTTAAATAGCAGTTTAATGCTGCTATATTTCGTTTGGTGAGCGCAGGGAAACGGAAATCCTTTTACTGGAAATAGGGCATTACATCTTCATCCTCAGGTCTGATAACGCATCCACATTTTGATTCTTAATCAAAATATGTGCTCGTTTGTCACCCATATGCCCAAATACTCAAACGTTACATAACTTCAAAGCCCCGTTACGTCTGGTGCGGTCTTTATCACTTTAAGTCAAAGTGACTGTGATATGACGAAACTTAATGACAATTGAGTAGTGTTTGACTATTTGGCCGTTAGTTAATTAAAACAAAGACTTACAATAAATTAATAATACTATTGTTATTTACAGATTGGGGCGCCCACAGTGAGCCGGGCGAAGTGAGCGAACCCGAGGCCGGTCGCATGCGTCCCGAGGACTACCGCCTCGTGTTCCTCAGCTCGGACTCGTCGTGCCGCGAGGACACAGAGGACTCCTCATCCACGGCGTCTTCTGTAGCACCGCCAGTACCCGACGACTGCGACTGGGATTATTTCGAACCCGGAGCAGCGTCAACACAGCCCCTCCCACCACCTCCGCCTAAACATACGCCACAAGTCTGTCCTAGGACGTGTTCCTGCGGTGCTGAGCCACGCATAGTAGCTGTACCAGTGCCAGTACCCGTGCCTGTACCAGCTGCGCTTTGGCCGGCCTTACTCGCCTTCCCTACACAAGCGCCGCCCGTGCCTCATTGGAACACATATCCAGGATTCCCGCCTCTCGATGCTGCAGCTCTCGCTCGGCTCACCACGGCCGCTGCCGTCGCCGTCACCGCCGCCGCCACTGCCACTACTCTACCACAAGCAAATAAACTCGAGATGACTGTCGAACGGACCGATAAAGCTATACAGTCTGAAACGTCAGAAGTACCAGAACAACGCGATAACGATAACGAAGATAAGACTATTGAACGCACATTGAAACATGAATCGTCAGACGACATCAAGGTGATTGCCGAGAAAGATTGCTTGTCGGTATTGTCGGAGCCAGCGGACACAATGCCGGGCCACCTTAATGCCGAGAATGCTTTCCCATCATCGAACGAGTCTGCCAATTCTAGCGATTCGGAAGATGTTGCTCATAGGAGCTATGATCTCAGAAGTGGAGCGCCCGAGGAGCCTGCAACATCAGATGAAGACTCTGACGACTCCGGGGGTGGTGGGGGTCAATTCTCACGAGTGTTCGTTGTTAACCCCGCCGATTCCTCATCAGATTTAGAAGATAACGCAGACAGTAGTGGTATCGATTGTGATGATTCCTACGACAAAAAGTCTGATAGTCTAGAAATAATTGCAGCGGAGATGGTGGAACAAAATGAGATCAATTCGAATGCTGACTTAAACGAAAGTGTGGCGCAAAACAGTGATGTCAATAAGATCGTATTACTAAATTCTTTGAGCTTTACGGGTGAACACCAAGTGGCATCGTGTAATAGTGATGAAGGAAGCAGTGATGACTGTGTCGGAAGGTCGAATTTTATTAAATTTTGTGACGAAAATATGCTTCGAAGTGAAACTTGTGAAAAGTATAATAGTTTTAACGCAAGTTGTAGTACCATTATAGATAATTCCGATTACAAAAATAGTGAAGATAATAATCAGTGCAAAAGTACCATATCGGAAAATACGGAATGCGATTCAATGAATAACAGTTTTAATTCAGACAACAGTATGAAAGTAAAAGTGTCGGTTAAGTTACAGGATGAAATATACAACAATAAAAGTTATGAAAACCAAAATAAGCCGTTTGTAAAAGCTTCACCCTCGCCGGAACCAAAACTTGATGAAACCAATTCACAAAGTGTAGAAAAAATAGACCTGTTTAAAGGTATTGAACGGACGCTCAGTGCATTATTGAAGAAAGAATTACTAGAGGAGCAAGGGGAGGAGAAAACACACGGCGTGTGGCCGGTTTGCACTGAGATAGAGGGGAGCGCGGGCGCACCTGCCGCCACGGCAGTTTGCCGCTCGCGCACGCCCGGTGCGGACGGGTCCGCGCGCTTCACTAGCCGCGTTATGATAACGCAAGGCCGAGTCTCCGTCGTCACGTCAGACACGACGCGGCTCATGCGGGATATTACAGTGCACCACACAAACTCACAAAACGTGTTGGAACCCAATACTAGTGCTTCAAACTCACAAAACGAAACAAACGAACGAGTTTCCGACGACGAATCGCCGCAACCTTCAGGCGGAGTGACTGTCGTTAGCAACGCCGACACTCTCTCGGCGGTCGTGTGCCTCGAGGAGGGATTGGCAGACGACGACTCATGGGTAGAGGACGTCAGCCATGACGAAGACGGTACCACAACTTCGGACAGTGATTCTGGCGATGAGGCCTCTCTTTCCACTCGAGGGGAGGATGTTTCGTATTGTAGACGTTCTTTAGACTTCACTTTACACACGATCGTCGAAGAAAGTTGCGAGGAAAGCGAATCGGAAAACAATACGAAAAAACCGCGACCTATTTCGGCCACAGAATTAGAAAAGTACTTTTTCTTTGGCCTAGGTGACGGAAGAAATGTTCGCGATGACGACGACCAAGTATCAGAAACCTCTAGTGTATGTAGTGAGGGTGGTGAATCTATTGTGGACAGTGAACAACCGAAAAGGAGTAACGACAACGATGATCTTGTTTCGTCGCGCTTGGAGAAATACTTCTTGTCCGGCTTCATGGGCTTTAATCAGGAGAGGCGGGATTCTGATGGTTCCGGTAGTGTTGGTAGTGATAGTGAAGGTAAACAAAGCCCAGAACAAAGGCGAAAGCGACTAGTGCGCGCTCGGGGTACGCCGCGGTCACATTCTTCTTCTTTAGATAATCTACTGACAGGGGACGAGCCCTCCCAGGACCCACAGGAAGTATCAGATGGATCTAGTACGGAAACAGAGGATCGACATGAGTCCTTGGAAAGGCTTGACATGCCAGGAGAGTCCAAAAGAAAGAAGCAAACTAAAAAGACGCGCGGGTCGCCAGCAGACGAAAGGCGACAATCAATGGAGTTTTCTGAGGAAACCCGTGACGATGCAAGGTCTGTCTCAGAGGGTGAAGATGGTAGGTCTTCACCCCGACCCGAATTCCCACCGCTTGGATCTGAATTATCGGAATCTAAAAAACAAACTAGTAGAGATAGCGGTTTTGTAGGAAGCTGCGATGATCTTCTAAGAAACGGCGATTCGAGTAATGAATTTACGCGATCTCATGAGCTTAAGACGGAATTAGAAGAAATTATAGAAGAAATAAGGCCCGATTTAGAAGAACGCACAGAACGCCCTCCGACTTCCCGTCCACCGCCGAGCCCATTAACACGTAAGGATAGCTTTAACAATTGGTCGTCTGACGAAGAAACCAATCTTATGATGACGAAAATGAGACAGTTTTTCAAGCAAATGGTTAACTCCGCAAATGTACGAACTTCTACACCCGCATCGTCTAATTCAGAAAGTCCGAGGCCACCAAAACCGCCCCAACTTTTATATTTTGAGAGCGAGTTAACAAGATTAATGAAAACAGTTCCGGGTATCCGTGACGAAGAGGTGCGAGAGATAGTAGAATATCTATCAAGTGAAGACACTTGGAGCGACTCGTATGACTCATCGGATTATGCCGGGTCTGATTTAGAGGGCACGGCAGCTACAAGGTCCGCTTTAAGAAAACAAATATCTGACAGCTGCCGTGAGATTATAGACGAATTTGATCGAGGCCAAGATGCAGGGTCGTTGGAACGCGACGCAGTTGGTGCCTACCAAAAGTTGGCAGCGACATTGGGCCGTGCTGGTGAAGGATCACCTCCCTTATTTGGCAAGGTTATGCGGCATATAGGAGGCAGACTCGTGGCATTGATGCATGAAGTATCAGGTGGAGCGTCACCTAGTACAGATGACGACAGTGCGTCAGAGCCGGGAGCGTTGGCACGTAGTCGATCTCATGATATATTGGAAGCAACGGCTAGTAGAGGTAGTGTGGCGAGTGACTGTGAAAGATTTTCATGGCGAGGCAGTTTTGAGTCTGCCTTATTAGCGGCTGATTCACGTGGTACGTTAGGTGGGCCAGGGTGTGAGGCACGAAGATCACCCGCAGGAGCTGAATTAGCAGCCCAAAAGTCCCATTCCAGAAGTTGTGGTGCCATTGCAGGCAGTGAGGATAGGCTGTGGCGTGGTCGACGACGGGCTTCCGCGCCTGATGCCGAGGTAAGAATTGACACTTTTTCTGGTACTATTTATATACTTTTTGAAACGACGAAAAAATCTTCCCAGTTTATTATTCAGTCTGAAGACTCCTACTTAGAAACAGTAGTCGTAGATTTAAAGAAATAATTCCAAAACATTTTTATTAAGTTCCTAAGTTGAATAAAAATAAGATTTAATTTCACCGCTCATTATGTAAAACACCATTACATACACTATGCATACTATACTATATAAAACACCTGATTCAATATGATCCATTATTCAAGCGATAATTTATTAAAAACAATAAATTTTCATCTTAAATCTGACCCGTAACCGGTTAATCGTAACGAAAATACAACAAGCAATATGTTATTCAGTATCTATTCTATTCGGTTAAAGTAAACGTAAATTCTATAATCGCAACGTATTGCCAAATGTTTTCCTTCGTAACCTCACACGTGTAAATTTCTATGATATAATGAAGTCAATGTCAAGTTTTATTTGTTACTATGTAAATAAAGCAGAATCTTAGGTATAATTGTTTTGTATATCTACATTATCAATACACGACGAATACGACCATTCAATAGATATTATTATATCACTTAAGGTTTGATTCCCGCCGGCACAAATGAAATTATTTATAACAATTTTAATTGCTGATTTACACGTGTACGATACTGAAAACTTCGTAACATATTCTATGTATGAATTAATCAAATATTTCACAATGACATGTTAAGTTGTAAGTCTGCCAACACGTAATGAAACAGCGCAGCGGACAAAATGCTCTATAACCCTTACGAAAATAAGTAGTGGCCAGTGCCTAGCAATGGGATAAACATAAGCTGCACTTTTACTTTTTACGTCTTTACATAGTATAAAAACAAAGTCGCTTCTCGCCGTCTGTACGCTTAAATTTTTTAAAGTACGCTATAGATTTTCATGCGGTTTACATCAATAGACTATAATGATTCAAGAGGAAGCTTTATATATAGGTTAGGTTAATATGTAATCATACATGCATATTTTGTCGAGATTTAAAAATCACCCGTGCCAAACCTAGGCGGATCGCTAGTTACAAATAAAATTTATATTATAATATAATTATTTCATTAAAAGTTTAATTATATTGTTGAATTCATTCATAATTATCATAATAATTGCATTAATATCGGGACTATCTATTTCAAGCATGCGAACTAACGTTATCATAAGTTGATAGACTTGTTTTTAAACCGATTTTAATGCAATTAATTAAACGATTTCAAAATGTATTTTAAATTATGTTAAATAAATAAATAAATGAAATAAAATATTTATTTTTACTACAGTCAGAAGAAGAGGAACGAGCAGGATCTCTTCCTCGTCTTCCATCGATCACTGGCACGAATACAGTGCCACCAGGTCCCGTAAAGTCAGCACGGTATCGTGCACCTGGATTCCGTACGGCTACGAGAGCCGCCTCAGCCCCTGGCCTCCATGTACCTAGGAGAAGAAGGGCTCCTCCTACACCACACCAGCCAGCACCAGCTGCACCAGCCTCTGCGCCGAGCTTGCAGGGTGAGTCAATTTTATAATAGTTGTCGAAATTTGATAAGTTTTAACTGTTACAAGGTTTATAAAATGATAATTGGTCACGGCACTGGAAACCCTTTATACGCTCAATAACAAATAGCAATAACTCATAATGTTACACCTATCACTTTACTACGCCACTTTAGATTTCCTGTACAATTTTCAATGTTTATGTCCTTCAATCCTATTACTACGTTTTTAATAAGTCACTTTGTTTGTCTTTGACTGTCTTCGGAGTGGAATCGCACTTCACGATGACCTAGAGATGAAACTTTGAACATAGCTCAAGATCCGATGACAATGTAGGAATATATGGAAAAAAGTACTACATAAATAATTTATGAAGTAAAACTTCTTTACGCATGCTTGACTTGGGGAATAAACTGGCGAACGCGTGACGAAAGCGTTACAAAAGTGTGATCGGGCGATTTTTCATAACTTTATTTCGTTTTGTACAATTTTATGAATGAATATTTTGTTCAATACATTACATATTTTACGTTTAAGGTGAATAAAATAGTAAATACATTTAAAATTTCATATTTTGTGAATTTTCGGGTAAATAATAGCAAATTATGGAAGGAAGCCGATAGCAAATTTAAATATTTGTAGAAAATTAATATATATATGTCCATCAGTATATATATAGTTAAAGTTTTACTTCAGTCGTGTGGTCATAAGCACATTCGTTTTTTTAGTACAAAATTTAATAAAACCACTTGTTTTATCTATTCTCTTTATCATACTTCTTTTATTATAATTCTAGCAATGTTTTTATTTTATTTACTAGCTGTTTTTTAATGCCCATGCACATTCACTACATAAGACAAAATCCTAAACCCATCAATAATAAGACTAGTTAAATGTGACAATTTTATGCGTGTGTACTATTATTATTATCATGCATGGCAATAAGCCCTAGTTAAAATTATTTTACTAGCGGTATCTACCACCACTAGTAAAATAATTTTAACATTAGGTACGCTGCTATTCTTGTTGAGTGAATCCTCCTATGCATACGAACAAAATAATTTATATACCCTATTTTAAAATCCCCATTAAAGCATATTATGGGAGGAGGCTTTGTTCAGCCGCATTTTTTTTTATAGGACAAGGGTGACAAACGAGCACACGGTCCACCTGATGGTAAGTGGCTGCTGTGGCCCGTAGACTTCTATCCTCGATTACGAATCAAAATGCAGATGCGTTGTCACCCGTGAGAACTAAGATGGAATGCCTCGTTTCCAGTAAAAGGGTCTCCGGTTCAATACACTCACCATACGAAACACAGCAGCATTAAGCTACTATTTTACGCCGGTATTCTATGAGAGCGTGGTCCTTCCCCGGCCGAGCCGACCCATTCGTGCTACAACTCTAAACTAATATAACTGCAGCATGGCTCTACCACGTATAAAAATACATCATAACGGCATAACCCAACCCTTCCATTTTTTGAAATCTTTTCAAGACTATTATTTTACCATTTTAAATCCAGAAGTAGCTTTGGATTGACTGTACTATTTTTTAAGCTTTTAAGCAAATTATTCCATTTATATGAAAAGGAGAAATTAACAGCCGGCACTATTGAATAACTAACTTTGTTATTAAGCAAAAGTCATATCTATCAGTAAAATACTAGAATAATATTTTATGTCTTTGTTTTTTCTGTTTATTTCTATCCTAAAAAAAAACAACGTTCGTATTTAATTACGTACATAAATTTTTCTTATCGTTATATACGTTTCCTTATAATTTTTTTTCTATCAAGAGGTTTAAAACGCGTATTTCTATATAAAAACCGTACTGATTTCGATCTTATTCCAAGTCTTTGTTTACGACGTCAAGTGACGTCAAATCTCAACTTAATCAATATCAACTGAGATTCATTTCAGTTATTATACCATTGGAATTTTTAAGTACCTTACACAAAGTTTAGACAGTCTCCCATATTTTTGACTTTAACAAGAACCCGCTACGCAAACAATAAAAAAATCTACTTTTGACCATATATAAGTTAATATTTTTCCTGTTTAGTAGGCTCCTTTTTGTCTATTAAAAAGTCAAGTCAAAAAGTCATAGGTATAGACATAAAATATACACATTTTTGCTGCCTAACTGTAGGTTTTGTTCCGGTTGAGGGGTATGGAGAGCTACACACCTACTTAAAGTGTGAGCCAATACGTCAACGCCGCTGTAGCCTTTACTGAAGTTAGTTGAAGTATAGTAAGTACAGTGTTTAAAGATGAAACTATACTTTTTAGTGTTACCAGATGGCAGGAGTTTTCAGGATATCAGGAAAATAAATAAAAATACAAATTGTCACGAATTTTCGAAGAGTAAAGTAATAATAAAAAGGTCGTGAAAAAAACCTATTCACGTAGCCTATATCAGTGCGTAGGTCACGCTTACCACACTAATCGGAATCCACACGTGGTCGCACGACCTGTTGTATTTTTAGCTTCGCTTGTTAAGTCCGCAAAGTGCATAAACCTTTATTTTTATAAGCCAGTGCACTTCAAACCCATCTGATGAGATGTAGTGATGCACTCGAAAGGATAGTTAAGCGCACTGACTTCTCTTAACAAAATCGTATTCACTCTCTTCTAAAAGATACCCATATTACAATCGGATGAATATATAAATACTGGGTAATTAATCCACTACTTTGCTGTACGCAGTGTACGCATAACAAACTACGCAGTACGAGTAAATCGTTTGGTTCCGAACGCGTGGTATATCGAAAACAATGGGGTGGAGTTTGGTCAAGCGTCTGGTTTTGCGAGTTATGCAATTCCTGTGCACACTCTAAAATGTACCTTGAAGACACTGAAATACTGGCAACTTTGCGACTTAACCCGACACTAATAAGGTCGGCTGACAATTACATAAAGACATAAAATTTGCTAAACTATCAAATTTGCTGAATAACAACAGTAACCACTTTCTATAATTAGTATACGTATTTGCTATAAAAATATCGATCAAAATAGTGTAAATTTTATAGCTTGTGTTTCGTTCTTGAGAATAATAAGAAGTTACAGGTCGTGAGAAAAATTTAAATACCATAGGAGCTGAAACCACTTTCCATCAAACTGACTAGTTTACTCGTTTTTCATTTTGATATTTTAGAATGCAATACAACAAAAATCTTGATATTTTTCAAGCGTTAATAATATTTAAATTTTATTTATATATTTACTCTTTATTGTACACCATAATACAAAAAAAATCGAGTAGAGTTAAATCCAAAGTTGAATATGTACAACTGGCGGTTTTATCACTTTGAAAGTGATCTCTTCCAGACAACCTTTGCGTACAGAACTGATGCAAACAATAGTTAAAATAGAGAGGGGGGATACAAAATAAAAATATGAAAATAGATACAAATACCCTCTCAGAAATGAAAGCCTTATATAAAGATAAGTGAAAATTATATATTACTAGTTGGCCAGGCAGACTTCGTTCTGCCATTTTCTATGACCCTTACTTACTTAAATTAGTAATAAAAAATATGGAGGGTCACATATCTTGATAAAAATCATCCTATATTTAAAGTTAGAGTAAGGAATACACATATGTAAAATTTAATTGAAATCAGTTCAGTAGTTTAGGCGTTCATCGCGGACAAATAATATGACACGTAACGATTAAATGAAAACAGTACAAAACTGGAAAAGTAATTTATTTAATAGCGTTCTAAGTAATGCGATTTAAGACGACACATCGAGAAAGTGGCTCCGGGCTATCGCCGTAATGATCCGAGTGAATACATAATTTCAGTAAAAACTTAAAAAACGCCGTCATAAGGTCTAAAATTGCGTAGCGCCCGCGACGATTAAGACTGCTTAGAAATTGTTAGAATCTTAAAATATTTTTTAAAAAATTATTGATTTAAGTAATCACAATAATGAACAAGTAAATTATGAATATTGATGTTATGAATATATTTGAGTGATTCCCAAGCATATAGATTAAGTAATTTCGTTCTAATTTCAACTATAGTGATTTTTGAGGTGTTTTCGCAAATAATTATGATCGAGTCAAAAATATACAATCGTGTTTTGTACAAGCAAATTCAAGATAAAGATATGAATTTACCTATATCAAAATTCCATTTTCGTTAGTGGTGTCATAGTCCTATACTATTCGATGAAAGGAGGTGTATTTTTTGCGGTGTCGCCTTAACAAGAATTTTGAAAGAGTGAAGAGATTTGTCTTACTTGCAAAGATCGAAATATTGTAAAGTAAGACAGTGGCGGAGTAAGAATATGCTCTGCCCCATATCGTCTCGAGGTTGTCGTAAGAGGCAGCAGAGGGAAATTGAAACATGAGATGGGCAGCAGCATCTTCCTGATAACAACTAAATATAATAAAAAACTGCGGTTGCCAACCCACTTGCCAAGCGTGGCAACTATGGCGAAGTCCCCCCATGAGGCAATCTGTTAGGGAGGCCTATGTTCAGTGGACTTTTATAGGTTGTAATGGATGGATGAAATATTAAGTAACTATGTGGTTGACTTCAGACTGAACAATTTATACGTATCGTCATCATCATTACAGCTCTTCAGAAGTCCACTGCTGAGCACAGGCCCAAGGAATGCTGCAAAGCACGTTTCTGAGCCACCTACATCCATCGACTTCCTGCATGTTACCAGGTCGTCACTCCATCTAGTGGGGGTCGCCCTAGACTTCGTCTACTGGTACGAGGTTGCCACTCTTGTCGAGCTATATGGCCAGCACGTTGTCACTTCGGCTTACTAATCCGTTGGGCTATGTCGGTCACTCTGGTTCTACTGCGGATATCCTCATTTCTAAGTTTACCGCTCAGAGAAACCTCGAGCATAGCCCTCTCCACAGCTCGCTGAGCAACCTTGAGCTTCTTAATACTGCCAACAGTGAATAACCAAGTCTCAGATCTATGTCATCACTGGCAACACGCACTAGTTGTACATTTATAAGCGTTTACCTAAAGTCAGGAAGCTGGCAACTAAGTAAAAACGTT